TTATAGCACTTTTTCATTCGTCGTTTCTTCTTTTACCCGTTACAATTTTGTCTTATTAGGAAATTATTTAGTTTCAGTTTTTTATTTTAGGATTTATTTTTTTGTAGCACATTAATATTATTAAGACACTATTGGTAATCACAAAAAGTTTTTTTTAAACAGCAAATTCTTGCTTTTTCTTTTATTCTTAATTGGATATATTTTTTTTGAAACCCCGGTATTCAATTGTATCACCCGCACTTCAAGGAATTCACTATGAAAACGTAGCCAGTTCAGTAGAAATAATGACGCAGGCATATTTCATTGACAAAGAAGAGCTGACAAGATCGACGTCCTATCGAAAATAAAAGCGCTCCATTCAAATGAAGCTTTCTACAAATCATCGAACTTATTTTTCGCACTTTTTCCCTCCCATCCTTTTACAGTGATGTACAAAGGATGGTTGGGTTTGTCATGTGCGTACTCACGCCATCTATACGCCACATACAGAAACTCATATAATTTTGTCTGTCACACCAAGTGACATATGGTTTGTTTATCCTGTCATTTCAAAAAGGGAAATTTTAAATGTGGAAAACATATTGGAAATAGGGAGACAATAAGCCATGTAAAATATTCAAGGTTCTTTCTTTTTATTTCTGGAGTTCTTGGCAGCAGGAAGTGGATCGGGCAATAAGAAAATAGTAAAAGTTTTTACCAACGTTAAATACAATCGGTGTAATAATACCCGCATATCACAAAACAAAATTTTAAAACTATTTATTGCCTTTATTGCATTAAAAAAAAAACCTCAATAACTGTTGAACAAAAGGAAGTAATACAGCACCAAACACTTTTGCCAGCATCGCTAACGATATTTGGACCACCGATCCCGACTCCTCTGCTCATCGTTGGATCCGCTGTTGAGCACCAGGCATTCCGCGGTGCTGAGGTACCTAAAAATAAAAGAATATAAAACTGATATGGTGTAAAACGAGCTATTGACTTTAACTCATTACTTACCTCCAAACTTATTGATAATTACTTTCGACGGACGGACAGCCCATAAACCTGGAATAAAAGGGTATAGAAAACACGTGGCCTTAAGGGTAGACATTTCCTTTTGTTTTCATTATTATTCGAATTTTTTTATTCTCATATCCTCTCCGAATAGATAGAGCTCTCTCTAGGCAGGTAGGACAGGTAATTTATCACCAGGAGTTAGATGCTCCCATTCACAAAAGCTTAATGTTGTCCCTTTGTTTTTACTCCACTTAAAATAGAAGAAAACTTTTTATTCAGGGTTTGAACTATAAAACAAAAATACAACACCCATACTTACGAGATTAACTGACGATAATAAGCTCAATTTCCAGCAAACACCGCTATCATAGGACCTCTGTTCAGCATCCCTGGGAAAAAAAGAAGAGCAGCCATCTTACATTAAATTTATTAAATAAATCCCCAAAAGTGGTACTTACCTAAGTTTCGTTATTATGTACAACGCTCAAAATTATAATACTTACGATTTTCGAATATTTTACACTAGTAAAAACTCTTTGCACTAGTAAAAACCTTTTTAACCATGTGAATCTCAAAGTTAAAATGATCCACGATTTATGGTATTTAAAATTAAGAAACTTGAATTAAAAATAAAATTATAACGATGGATATGAATTAAAATGTCTTCTCCATAAGGAAATTTAATTGAAGGTTAGGAGGGTGACGTGCCAAAGAAGAGGTAGGTATGGGGACAATATGAACATGTTTTGATTGCCAAGGTGGAACAAGTGTTCCAGTGGGAGGGAAGAGCTCGGTTTAACACCTGCCGAGTACTTTCATGATTTTTTTTTTCCATATAACTGGTTGCTTTTTCTTATTTATGCTGTGGTAAAAGTCATTAATAGTTTACTATTTCTCTCGGGCTCGGAATACCTTTTTTTTAAATTTTGATCAGTCTGGCATGATAATTTTTTTTGTTCCACGTATTGCCAACCTAGTCAATGTCGTCAAGAACCACCCCCATCCGGCGAGCACTAGCCGTGCAAAAAGCCAGCATGCCAGCAATGACGATGTTTGCTAGAAAATAGGAATTATGTGAAATCAACTGACGGTAGTACGTGACAAGCTCTGTTTCGTTTGTAGCGTCGAAGGAGAAACCTGCCAAGAGCGGTGATTGTGTGGTGAAAGCCAAACACGCTGTCTCGAAGCAGGTAGCCCAGACACCTACAACGATGCAAAGCGACTCTGCTGATCCAAAAGAGGTTCCGGAAGATCTGCGAGTAGCGACCATCGATTGAACTGACCCTGACGGGTTTATCAGCGAGGATAAATGGTTGCTGGTCGACAGTCATCTGAAGGACCCCTTCCTATCCGACGAGGTTGATTGACAGAGCCTACGGTTTGGCCCGACCTCCTCATACAAAGGGGTCAAGGTTGTTGATTGTCGCACTAAGGAGACTTCGGAATTCCTTAAGAAGACAATTAACAACCTGGACCCTCTTTGGGAAGGCAGTAGTCTGGCAGCTGTAGCGGTCCGAGAGATTCCGAACCGAGCTGACCCCGACGGGTTTATCAGCGAGGATAAATGGTTGCTGGTCGACAGTTATCTGAAGGACCTCTTCCTATCCGACGAGTTTGATCGACAGAGCCTACGGTTTGGCCTGACCTCCTCATACACAGGGGTCAAGGTTGTTAATTGTCGCACTAAGGAGACTTCGGAATTCCTTAAGAAGACAATTAACAACGTGGACCCTCTTTGGGAAGGCCAATACCAAGCGGTATGGTAACTTCAGTGTTTATCCCACCACCTTTTAAGGGACTGGAGAATACACTAAGGTTATTGGAGAAGCAGAACGACGGCCTTCAGATGAAGTGGTGGAGAATCCTCGCCTCATTTGAAAGGGACGGCGGTGTCGTCGCGAAGTTCGCTACGGATTCTGCGGGAGAGCAATATTTGAGGAGGAATAAGGGTGAACTTTGTTATGGAATGCTTATTGTTATGGAACAATAAGCGGAATGCAGCAAGCGCTGAACGTGGTGCAGATTAATCTGCATCACTGTAGAGCAGCAGCTGCTGAACTGCTCCTCACCCTCTCTTCCTCAAATACCGACGTCGCGCTCATCCAGGAACCTTACCTGTAAAAAGGTAAGGTGACTGGCATGGGCGATAAAAAATACAGTGTTTTGTCCGCCTCCAATGGAGAGAAGGTAAGAATGTGTATTCTTGCTAAATTTAATGCTTCTATCTAATTTCAGCAATGGAGACATGACAGCAAGACTGGATAGGGGTATCTCGAAGCCCCTGATATTCTCTGTCGTCCATCTCCCCTACGAGGCTCATGACCCTCCCGGTATGGTAGTATGCCGCATAATGGAGGAGATGGACAAAGTTGGTGATATCATCATCGGATGTGACGCCAACGCACATCACTTCCACTGGGGAAGCAGTAACACTAACACAAGAGGTTAAAACAGTTGAGGATGTTGAATTAGCTGTGAATAATGTTAAGGCTACTCTTCTGAAGAGCTATGAGGCTTCTTGTCCCCTAACATACCCTGGGAAAAATCTCAGCCGGTATGGTGGTCACTTAACCTTGCAACCTTGAGGAAGGCTGCAAGGAAAGCTTACAATAGAGGTAGTAAGACAAAGCTCAGTACTGATTGGGATGTCTATAAAAGTCAATTCAATAGGAACAAAAGATGGTATAATACCGGCCATGCGAGTAATATCATCTCTGCAGGACATCTTTAGGGCTTGTTTACTTCTGTCGTATATACCAAGTCTATGGAAAGAGATAACAGTGGCCTTCATCCCGAAAGCCGTTAAGCCGAGTCATACGCTACCAAAAGACTATAGATAACTACAACACAATTTCAATACAACAAAGTGACTAATAATTATCCGATTGAGACTAAAATTTGTTCAGCGTACCAAATTGAGTCCGGAGTGAAGTGTTTTGAGTTTTGTTGAAATCGGTTCAGATTTAGACATAGCTCCCACACATATTTTCGTCCGATTTTGGTAAATGGTGTATTAAAACCCCAATATTTCTTTCGATTTGCACGAAATTTTGCATAGCGTACTGAGTTGAGTCTAGAGAGAGTAATGTGTGTTAAGTTTCGTGAAAATAGGTTCAGATTTCGATATAGCTCCGATATATAGTTTCGACCGATTTTAAGTAATTGTTGAACTAAAGACATTCAATAATTCTCCGCTAGCGATAGAAATTTGCACAGGGTACTTTTCCAACCAGTGCGAAACAAAAATACCTAATTATAACTGATCAGTTAAAAAATGAAAAAAAAGCCTTAAAATACCGAATTTTGTGGTGCCGCTTTATGGGAGCTACCGTAAAAAATTGGCGGATATATCTCGTTTTCAATATCAAACATCATAGAAGTAACATTAATATAAGTTCAGAATTCCTATCTTCAATATTGCGAGCTTTAGTTTTTTACAGGAGTGTAGTTACGTCTGTTTGCATTAATAAAAGCATGTTATTGTAGTTACGTCCGTTTGAATTTCTTTAATTAGATTGCTGTTTTTGACGTTAAATGTCTAAATTTTTGTGTGAACATGTAGTTTGTTTAGACGAACAATAATCAAACAAAAGTCAATTTCGAATTTTTCTGTAGTCACGTCCGTTTGCATTTGTGATGGCGATATATAAAAAAATGTGCAAAAAATTTGTCAGCACATACGATATTGATGGCTCGTGTAACATACTCTTTAGTCTTCCTTTGCTGTCAAGAGAAACGAACACAATAAATGTTGACAGTCAACAAAGAATTTAGTTAACTTTTAAATAAACCTTGTATGTATATAAACTAAACATAACATCGCGTAGACAAAACAATGCGTTACGTCACTGCAGTAACTACAATTAGTTATACCAGTTTTATAATTTGGTACAAAGAATTCAGTAATCATAAACCCCGCAGCACTATCAGTGACACAGCTCAAAAGTGAAAAATACCGACGAAAGTATTTATACTATTTTCTTTGTAAATTCTTAGTTACTACAAGAAATATGTCTGGATTCGACGATAATCCTTTTGGCGAACCAAATCTGGATAACCCATTTGCGGTAAGAAGTGGAGCATTTATGCTGTGTGTTGTGAGAGAGATATAATTTACTTGTACAATATATGCATGTATAAGTATGTATTATTGACTCACTTTTCTTTATCTCTTCTCGCCGAGCATGAATTTATTGCAAGAAACACAGTTGCCTTATTTGGCACAGAGAACAATGCTCAGGTTTATAATGGTGTGACGTATTTCAGGATCCAGCCATACAACAGGCGACCCGCACAACAACCAATGTTCAGAGTTCATTAGAAGACTACAATCCCTTTGAGCAGGAACAATCAAAGCCACAGCTACAAATTAACTCTACCATTAATTCAAATGCTGCCGTGGTACAACCTCTATCACAGAACATACCACCTGCTCAACAACGCGCCCCCGCAGCCACACCTAGCACCAGTATTCAAATAACCACAGAGGAATTACAAGTAAGTAATATGATCCGAAATATAAGAATCCATATTGTATGTATTGCACTTTATTTCTTATCTATTACAAATAACAAAGTGGATTTCAAGCGACGAACAAACTAGATATGGTCTGGTTTGTTATGGTTTCTCTTTAGCAATGCACATCTCCATTGTTAGACCTAAATATAACATAAAAAACAACATATGAGTGTTATTCAGAAAGGTCAATTCTTTTCTTATAGTGTTATAAAAACATGTCCTTCATTTGCCGTAAGCCTAACATACATTTTTACCCTTCTTGAGAACTGGGGATATAGCGAACTTTTTTTTTATAAAGAACTAATTATTCGTGGCCATCTTTCAGTTTTCATCAGGGGTTAAAAGCCAGCATCTGGTGGCATTAGCATTACCCCTACAGAGCAACTGATATTAAACATTGGCGTCAATGGCTAAAGTTGCAAATGATCAGATATTTAGATTAGGCTCGTATGTGATGTGCTAGCGATTTTTGATTAGGACTAAGCGGCAATGTAGTTAAAAAATCAGCAGACAAAAATAGCGAAAGCCTCAAATAGCTCCAACGCCAATTTTCGTTGCTGACGGCTGGGCAGCCGAAGGGTGTGTTTTCATGGTGATTTGTTGTCAACTCACGAATGATAAAATCTATAAATGTGACATTCATTGTGAAATCGACATTTATTTTTTGCTGTTACATATTGTGTTATTAAACATTAAATATTAAAATGAAATCTATCGAAATATTTGTTTCTTTTGGCTGAAACCCTCAGCTTAGCACTAGTAATCGTGCTGCTAATCTTCTTTAGCAATTGCGTTTGTGTAGTTATTTTCCAGTTTCAGCTTCGTGACTAGTTGCCAATTTGTAATGTCATTGTGAAGTGCTAATTTCTAGGCGCTGAACATAGCGTTAGCTTCCGTAGATATATATTTTTTTGTAATGTGTTGCGACTCGGTGGCGTTGCTCGCTGTAAAGCAATATACTTTAAAGAAATTTTAGGAGGAAAAACTGTAAAAAAACAAAAAAAAAAAATTTCAACGAATCTTAACACACCTTTCTAAACTCAATCCAACACTCTCTGCCAAGTTTCGTGTAAATCGAACAAACGTAGTAATTTTTTGCATCATTTACATAAAATGGGAACTATATCTTAATCTGATTTCGTCAAACTTTATCACACATCATTCTAGTCTAAATGTAATTCGCTATGCAAAATTTCGTATAAACCAAGGTTTAAGGTTAACAAGCAGGCGAATTCATGCCTTAGTCTTCTTTTGCTGTCAACATTTTAATCGCGTCTGCGTCTACAACTTCAGTAGTGTTGACGGTTTATTTGGGATATCATTTGTATTTTGTTTTTGCAAAATAGGCTGAATCCCAGTTTGTTATTTTTATAAAAACAACTATTTATTAGTGGGGAATGTGTGGCATTGTTTGCCGAGGGGTAAGGCAAGGAAGTTTCGGATCATGCCCTCGGCAACAATGCCATACATACGTTTTATTGAAAGATATTTTGAGTTTTTATCCTGTTTTGAGAGAAGAAAAAGGCATGAATTCGCCTGCCGGTTAACCTTATCCGAATAGTGTTAAAACAAAGTCGTTAAGAGTTACGGTATTTACACAATTAAAAAAATATGATTTAGGTTAATGGCTTGTGTCTGGGTTGAGGGAATGGTACATGCCAAAAATTTTAATAACTATTTCATACAAGAAGACTACAGTAACATTTGGTATTTGGAGTGCAATTTTATTGTTACATATTTTAAAACATTATTTTATTAATTTTTTTTTGTCTTTTACAAAATTTAGTTTAGTTCGTTTGGGCAATACAACGTATTCTAAGTACATATAATGTTTGGTTTAAGGTAGAAAATTCGTATGATTTTTATTAAAGACCGCAAATTTTAAAATACATATGTTCTAAAAATATTAAGTTCTAAAAAGAAGATTTTCTTGAAGGCGGGGGGCAGAAAATTTTTTTTCTAAAAATCACAACATATGTATACTTCGGATATTCCCATTAAAACATTCTTCAATAGACTCTATCGATATATTATCTGAACATCAGAATTTATTCGTTTATTTTATTTAACTCTTTTCTAGCGTCGACAAGAGGAATTGGACAGGAAAGCGGCGGAATTAGATAGACGAGAGCAACAGTTGCAAGGCAATGTTCCACAACTTAATAACTGGCCACCTCTCCCCGACAATTTCTGTGTGAAACCATGTTTTTATCAGGATTTCAATTTGGAAATTCCCCCAGAATTCCAAAGACTTGTAAAACATTTATATTACACATGGATGTGTAAGTTTCTAAACACAGAATTGATTGATTGACGTTGAAATTATGTTAATAATGTCATTGTCCTTATTTTGTAGTCTACACCTTAACAATGTGTGTTAATATTATTGGAGGTTTAACCATTCTGCTACATACCGGAGATTTTACAAATTTCGGACTTTCTATTTTCTATACATTGCTCTTTACTCCTGCATCCTATATTTGCTGGTAAGTTATCTCAAAATTCGTATGATTAGATATATATCCTATATTATTATTTTGTTTTATTCGTAGGTTTCGACCGGCCTACAAGGCCTTTCGCAACGATTCCAGCTTTAACTTCATGGTGTTCTTCTTTGTTTACTTCTTTCAAACACTTTTCTCTGTGTTTCAAGCTATTGGGTTCCCCAAGAGTGGTTATTGTGGCTTTATAGTTGCTATATCCCAGTTCAATTCTTCAGCCGCCGGTATTATTGTTGGTCTTTTGTTGCTATGCATTGCCTTCTGTTTTGCTATTACAGCTGCTGCAAATATAATGATGATCACAAAGGTAGTTTGCATTTCGTTATAAATGAAGAAAACTCTTACTAATTTTTCTGTCGGTTACAGATCCATTCAATATATAGAAGTTCTGGTGCCAGTATGGCCAAGGCACAGGCTGAATTTGCTACCGAGTTTATGCGTAACCAGCATGTTCAAGAAGCTACAACATCTGCAGTTAACTCGGCTATTAATTCTCAGTTTAATAATCGCCGGTATTAGACCCCAATGACATTTCTTAAAGCAGAATCAATCACATTCAAGAAATAAAATATGCATAGAGAAAATTCGCCTTGCAGTCATGAAGATTGGTATAAGTAATAACAAAACTACAATAATTACAGCAGTGAAATTGACGTCTGAGAACGAAGTTAAAATCAATTGAAATTGCTTCTTTTGTTTTGTTTCGTTTCGATTTATTTCTGTGTTTTGTTTTAACGGTTATATTATTAACATTCATAAACTGCATACGTAAATACATACATTGATATAATAGAGACACGATTTTAGACGATGTTAAACGAAGCATTGCAACATATTTGGTAATGTGAGAGTAAAGTAAACAAATGATCGAATGAGAATACTACTAGCTCTTACTGACAAGCGTGTAGTGGTTTTGTGAGGAGTAAATATATACATTTAAACGTCCATTTCTCTATATTTGAACAACTAATATATAAATTAAATATAACAAGTTTTTATCGTCATATTATTATTATTATATTTCATAACATTCAAAATGAATCTATAGACTATTGTGTAGTACGGTCATATTCCCCTCATGTTCCATCGGAAAGAAAAATCCATTGATGATTTTATTATAATTATTATTATTTTGTTATCTACATATATATGTATATGTATTCATATGTAATAAATTACTATTAATTAATTGATGTATATACAATGGCACATACCACTTATTTAAGACATCTGGTATGAATGGAATGTGGGAAGATTATTGTCATCAATGGTAAGAATAAGCTGTATTAAGACCTTCATTCCAGCAGTATGGTCATTTCTAAAAATCGTAAAGGTAAATCTATATACTAATAGTTTAATTTATCCTCCTTACATTCCAATAAAACATATTAAAAACATAAAATTTCAAATTGTTTTATCTCAAAATTCCATACAGTGCAATCGTCTGACGAATGTCAATGGAGTCATAGACCAGTTATATATCATATTCAGCCTGTTGCTAGACTTCAATATTCTGTAAGCAAAATTGCTGTTGCTTCAATTGCTTTGATGAACTGGGAAAAGCAAAAAAAAAGAGGTGTAATTTCGAATTTTCGAAAACGGTGGTTGAAAAAATGTTTCGTGTTGTCATATTTTAATTTTAGTTGTAATGTTGTCCCATTGTAATCTAATTTTAAAATACTTTATTAATGTTATTTCGAGGGCGGTTCGGAAACTTTTTAGCCTATCAATGAAAGAGAATAGTTAGTTTTTTAAAAATATTTTATTTTTCAATATAATCTCCTCCTGCACTTAGTCCAACACTTTTCTAGCAATTCTATCCCTTGATCAAAATAGTTTTCCTCAAGGTCTTCAAAATAGTGGTTTACAACTGTAACAAGTAAACGTCACTAGGGGTTAAATCAGGAGAATAAGGTGGGTGTTCAAGCAATTCTTTACTATAATTCGTTAATTTTAGCCATTGTTAAAACACTCTTGTGCGCTGATGCGTTGATAGAACTTATTTTTTTTGTGTTGTAAGCCAGGACGTTTTTCTCGAATTTGTACATTTAATGATCCAAAAGGTTGCAATAGTACTCTGAATTTATTGTTTTACCCTTTTGCAGATGGCCAATCAATAAATTACCTTTGAAATCTCAAAACACCGTTCCCATAACCTTACAAGCCGATTGAGTTCTTTGCCTTCTTTGGGCACTTCCTCCAGCTTTGGATTGTTCTTTTGTCTCTGGACTCCATCATTTCAGATGCCCATGGTATTAGCAATTTCAAACACTTTTATTTGTCGATCATTTAATACCGTATCATGCACTTTGGCTACAATTTCTGTTGTTGCTGTTTGTGGGCGTCCACTGCGTGTTTCATCTTCAATTCTTGTACGACCACGTTTAAATTCAGCAACCCAATTTTTTACTGTTGCATATGAAGGAGCACTTTCACCTAACACAGTCACCATATCATTATGAATTTCGGCTTAACTCTAGTTTAGTAAAAACGATCAGATTTTTCTGAAATTTTTTCCAGAGGTAGGTATTTTTACCCTAATTATGGGGATATCTTTTTTTCTTGGGGGACGTATCCGGTTACCCGGTTATTTGACCCGGAAGTTCGGGTACGGGTACGGGTACCCGGTTATATCCGGTTCTACGGATCCGGTTAATATAATATGGGTATCATTTTAAAGGTTATAAAAATACCTTTCCATTGAGTGGTAACATGATTTATCTCAAACCATTTTGGAGATAAAGTCAAAAAACTGGGTTTTGGTCCCCGATTTTTTTGAAAAACTCCCTAAAAGTCAAACTTGGGTCCATTATAATCGCTCTCCAACCTAGTCTAAAATGATAGACCACAATTTTCCCTTTCCAAAATGGTGCGATATGTGGCTCTATCTGTTGTGGATCAAAAGATATGGGCCTTAGAACCCTACAAAAACAAGAAAATTCTGTCGCGGTGTTGGTATCTGTCCATAGGAGAAAGTCTTAAATACCCGGCCGAAGGCCGGCTACACAAAAAAAGATTCTATTTAGAAGGAGTTTCTGTTGCGTAGCCGGTGTTGGCATCTGTCCATAGGAGAAAGTCTTAAATCCCCGGCCGAAGGCCGGTCACCCAAAAAAAAATATTCCATTTAACAAGAAATTCTGTCGCGTAGCCGGTGTTGGTATCTGTCCATAGGAGAAAGTCTGAAATCCCCGGCCGAAGGCCGGCTACACAAAAAAATATTCAGAAGGAGTTTCTGTTGCGTAGCCGGTGTTGGCATCTGTCCATAGGAGAAAGTCTTAAACCCGCGGCCGAAGGCCGGTCACCCAAAAAAAATATTCTATTTAACAAGAGATTCTGTCGCGTAGCCGGTGTTGGTATCTGTCCATAGGAGAAAGTCTTAAATCCCCGGCCGAAGGCCGGCTACCCACCAAAACTATTCTAATTAAAAGGAGATTCTGTCGCGTAGCCGGTGTTGCCATCTGTCCATAGGAGAAAGTCTTAAATCCCCGGCCGAAGGCCGGTCACCCAAAAAAAAAATATTCTATTTAACAAGAGATTCTGTCGCGTAGCCGGTGTTGGTATCTGTCCATAGGAGAAAGTCTGAAATCCCCGGCCGAAGGCCGGCTACACAAAAAAATATTCAGAAGGAGTTTCTGTTGCGTAGCCGGTGTTGGCATCTGTCCATAGGAGAAAGTCTTAAACCCGCGGCCGAAGGCCGGTCACCCAAAAAAAATATTCTATTTAACAAGAGATTCTGTCGCGTAGCCGGTGTTGGTATCTGTCCATAGGAGAAAGTCTTAAATCCCCGGCCGAAGGCCGGCTACACAAAAAAATATTCTATTTAGAAGGAGATTCTGTTGCGTAGCCGGTGTTGGCATCTGTCCATAGGAGAAAGTCTTAAATCCCCGGCCGAAGGCCGGTCACCCAAAAAACACCATGCTATTTAAAAGGAGTTTCTGTCATGTAGAAAGATTTTCCTTGTTTTTATAGGGTTCTAAGGCCCATATCTTTTGATCCACAATAGATACAGCCACATATCGCACCATTTTGGAAAGGACAAATCGTGGTCTATCATTTGAGTCTGGGATGGAGAAGGACTATAATGGACCCAAGTTCGACTTTTAGGGAGTTTTTCAAAAAAATCGGGGACCAAAACCAAGTTTTTTGAATATATCTCCAAAATGGTTTGAGATAACCCTATCATATTACCACTCAATGGAAAGGTATTTTTATAACCTTTAAAAAAAAGAGGTGTAATTTCGAATTTTCGAAAACGGTGGTTGAAAAAATGATTCGTGTTGTCATATTTTAATTTTAGTTGTAATGTTGTCCCATTGTAATCTAATTTTAAAATACTTTATTAATGTTATTTCGAGGGCGGTTCGGAAACTTTTTAGCCTATCAATGAAAGAGAATAGTTAGTTTTTTAAAAATATTTTATTTTTCAATATAATCTCCTCCTGCACTTAGTCCAACACTTTTCTAGCAATTCTATCCCTTGATCAAAATAGTTTTCCTCAAGGTCTTCAAAATAGTGGTTTACAACTGTAACAAGTAAACGTCACTAGGGGTTAAATCAGGAGAATAAGGTGGGTGTTCAAGCAATTCTTTACTATAATTCGTTAATTTTAGCCATTGTTAAAACACTCTTGTGCGCTGATGCGTTGATAGAACTTATTTTTTTTGTGTTGTAAGCCAGGACGTTTTTCTCGAATTTGTACATTTAATGATCCAAAAGGTTGCAATAGTACTCTGAATTTATTGTTTTACCCTTTTGCAGATGGCCAATCAATAAATTACCTTTGAAATCTCAAAACACCGTTCCCATAACCTTACAAGCCGATTGAGTTCTTTGCCTTCTTTGGGCACTTCCTCCAGCTTTGGATTGTTCTTTTGTCTCTGGACTCCATCATTTCAGATGCCCATGGTATTAGCAATTTCAAACACTTTTATTTGTCGATCATTTAATACCGTATCATGCACTTTGGCTACAATTTCTGTTGTTGCTGTTTGTGGGCGTCCACTGCGTGTTTCATCTTCAATTCTTGTACGACCACGTTTAAATTCAGCAACCCAATTTTTTACTGTTGCATATGAAGGAGCACTTTCACCTAACACAGTCACCATATCATTATGAATTTCGGCTTAACTCTAGTTTAGTAAAAACGATCAGATTTTTAATGCATATTTTTTTAAGGTTGACTGTTGTTGCTGTTTGTGGGCGTTCTGAAATTTTTTCCAGAGGTAGGTATTTTTACCCTAATTATGGGGATATCTTTTTTTCTTGGGGGACGTATCCGGTTACCCGGTTATTTGACCCGGAAGTTCGGGTACGGGTACCCGGTTATATCCGGTTCTACGGATCCGGTTAATATAATATGGGTATCATTTTAAAGGTTATAAAAATACCTTTCCATTGAGTGGTAACATGATTTATCTCAAACCATTTTGGAGATAAAGTCAAAAAACTGGGTTTTGGTCCCCGATTTTTTTGAAAAACTCCCTAAAAGTCAAACTTGGGTCCATTATAATCGCTCTCCA